CTACAGAAATCCACTGGAGACCTTGGGTAAGTTATGTTCCCTTGAGGTCCTCCCACACAGTCCTATATCCCAGAATATCAAGGCAGAAATTCCCACAATATCTGCTTTGAACTGGGTTTATTTATTTGCAGTATTTATATACCGCCTTTCTCAGCCTGAAGGCGACTCAAGGCGGCTTACTAATTGGCAGCAATTTGATGCCACAATAGTCATAAAACATAATTAAAAACATTTAGCACATATTCTAAAAACCATTTAAAAGTAATTAAAAACATACAATCACCAGTGACTCCCTGTTAACTCATTTTCCAAAAGCATTGTCTACACCATGCCATGTTCACTCTTTCCCGGTTCCATATTCATCTATGGGTTATCTGAGTCCACACTCAGATAATGTGGGATTTTCTGCCTTGATATTCTGGGATATAGGACTGTGTGGAAGGGCCCTTTGCATCAAAGCAGTTTCTCATCCTGGGGATCGGGACCCCTGGGGAGGTCACGAGGGGGTTTCAGAGGGGTTGCCAAAGGCCATCAGAAAACATCTATTTATACCCCTTTGGCAGAAAAGGCTGAAGATCTCTTCCTTTTTCGAAACAGACAGCAAATCCTCCCACCAAAAGCCCTTCTCCGCTGTGTTTGGCCAAGGGGAGGGCTGTTTCTGAGACTCCAAGCAGGTAGGGGAGAGCAGGCGTGCTTGGCATATGGAGCATGGTGCGCATGTGTGGGTGAGGGAGAGCTTGCTCCAGCGAGTTCCTTCAACACATAGGGGTTCTGTGTAGGAAGTTTGGTCTAATTCAATCATTGGTGGGGTCCAGAATGCTCTTTGATTGTAGATGAATGATAAATCCCAGCAACTACAACTCCCAAATTCCAAAATCAATATCCCCCCCAACCCCATCAGTATTCAAATTTGGGTGTATCAGGTATGAATGAAAATGAAAATACATCCTGCATATCAGATATTTACATTACAATTCTTCACAGTAGCAAAATTACAGTTATGAAGTAGCAACAAAAATAATTTTATAGTTGGGGGTCACCACAACATGAGGAACTGTATTAAGAGGTCACTGAGTTACGAAGTTTGAGAAACACTGCCACTCTGAATAAATAATGACAAAAAAAGCTCTGTGATAGGTTTATCTTAGGTTCACTCAAAGTCAGAAACAACTTCAAGGCACATGACCACTGCCCTAGTATCAGTACAAGTTGCTTCAGTGCTGGACAGAGAAGTTGGGGCTGTTTTGAGAATGAGGATCACTGTGGCAACTTACCCTTTTTTCTTGGTTCTTCTTAAACTCTCACAGCAGCCTGCTCCAGGGCACCTAAAAAGCATTTTTAAAAAATTGCCATTCGAGTCATGGTTTGGATGCTAAGGAGGAGAGAGAACATCAGGTGCATTCAGAAGAATGTAACTGATAGTGAACTTCGATGGTCTCGTTACAGGAAAAAATCCAAGGAAGTATGATACATAAGCTGAAAGCTCAATTAGATCCGAAAGTGAAATAGCCTGTGGTTTCACAATTATGCTGCTTGGCAGATGCTGTATCCACAATGCGGAATTGTAACAGATTGACAGCACATTAACTGCCATGGCTCAATGCTATGGAATTCTGGGTTTTGGAGTTTTCTGAGATATTTCTCCTTTGTCTGAAAGCTCTGGCGCCTGATGGGCTTCATTAGAGTCTGCTATTTGGATTACTTTTCCCAACAGGATTGTGTAAACCTGCCTTGTTTAAAATAAACGAAGGATTGTTACTGACTGAAAGCAATTGTTTGCTACTTGCAAGTGTGCCTATAAATGAAACTGGCAGTGTGGAACAGCGATGGGTGTGAACATTTATCTATTGATGTCCATGCTCCATTCATGATAATATCTTGGAAGAGACAGGTTGGAAAGAGGCAGGGCTGAAGCCAACAATGGAATAGCCAAGAACCACGGTTTCCCTGCCCCTCATGTTTACCCTCCTTTCTTCTCACTCAGTGGACTGTCAAATAACAAAACATTATTTCTCAATAACTGAACTGATTGCTTTCAGTTTTGTTTTTTTTAAAAACACACACACAGTAGAAATTAGGCTGAGTGTTACACTAAATTAGGCCAAATTAGACTATATGCTTTCTCAAATCCTACAATGTTTCACATAAAAAGTCTGGGACATATTATAGTGGGGTCAAGATGGTAAAACTTACTACTGAGGAAAAACTCACAGGTTAGAAAGTGCTACAGCAGTAGGCTTTTGCCTAAAACTCGTGGGAGGAGCAAGACTTCACCTTCTCCTTCCTTTTGCTAAGTTAACTGAATTTTTTTTTTGTCATGTCAGGAGCAACCGCTCCTGTTGTGAGAGAATTGGCCGTCTGCAAGGACGTTGCCCAGGGGACGCCTGGATGATTTTTGATGTTTTATCATCCTTGTGGGAGGCTTCTCTCATGTCCCCGCATGGGGAGCTGGAGCTAGTAGAGGGAGCTCATCCACCTCTCCCTGGATTCGAACCTGCGACCTGTCAGTCTTCAGTCCTGCCGGCACAGTGCTTTAACCCACTGCGCCACCGGGGGCTCCTAGTTAGTTAACTGAATACAAACCTACTATTGCAATTTGAACTCAATTTGCAGCAACTAAAGTAAGTGTAGGATAACAAGAGGAAGGAGGAGAAGAAAACAGAAACTAGGACATTTTTAAAACAGCTAAAAGTGGGACAAGGGGATTAATTGGGACTGTCCCTCTTTTAAGGTTGGAGTCCTCGGTGGTGCAATGGGTTAAACCCTTGTGCTGGCAGGACTGCTGACCAACATGTCAGCGGTTTGAATCTGAGGAGAGCGAGTTGAGCTCCCTCTGTCAGTTCCGGCACCCATGAGAGGACATGAGAGAAGCCTCCCTCAAGGATGGTAAAACATCAAACATCCAGCCATCCTCTGGGCAAGGTCCTTACAGATGGCCAATTCTCTCACACCAGAAGCAACTTGCAGTTTCTCAAGTTGCTCCTGACACTAAAAAAAGTTTAAGGTTATGTTTCCTTGGTGTATATACACTAAAAAGCTTTAAAAAAAAGAAATGGGATGAGGCATAAAAGGAAACAGTGTCATCCCATAGCCCAGAGAGCAAGTTTTCACAACTTTTTGCCAGGTTCCAAGGGACATTTTTTTTTAAAAAAAATAGGGGGCCCTGTTATAAAGTGGTAATAATATCCCTCTTCCCCCAGTTCCTCATCTCATACATACAATCATCAGCACCATGAAAAAAGCCTGATTTAATTCTGAAATTACTGTCACATATTCTGTTGATATTTAATATTGATATTTTGGTTGACAATAACATCCGTCCTGAAAATCATATACATTTGCAACTACTTTGTACCTTTTGGGTCATTAATAAAGCAGTTATGCTGTCAAAACTTTTATTATTAATATTCAAATGAATGAATCAATCTAATAACGCACATTAGGCCAAATAACATCCAATGAATTAGTCCCAAGTCAATTTCTTTTGCACATTCAGTAGATAAGAAGATCAGGTGACTTTTCTGTTCTTTTCCCATCACAGAACACCTCTATTTTTGGATTTCTGCTAGCTTGCTGAAATATCTATTACCTTCCACAAAGTCACAAAAAAAACTATTGAGCTTTGGACACAATGAGGGTAGTTCACATCCTTTTACAACAGTAGCCTTAGAGGAACATTTACATAGAAAAAAAATCTTAGGAACATCAGTGGGATGCTTTATAACTTCGACATTTCATATGTTTTCCCACTTCCCTAGACTCTTTTTGGACAGAAAGAATATAAAACAAATGTTGTTGATTGCTCTAACAGGCTAGCTTGCTCTCACTATCTTACAGTTTTTCCCTTTGCCCCTCTACCAGGCGCCACTGCTTTTGTCTATGTACAAGAACCTCTGGGATTGTGGTTCTTGATATCATGGCCCATGTCAACTGAAGAAACATTAAATCAGTGGTTTGCTGTGAGTTTTCTGGGCTGTATGTTCTAGAAGCATTCTCTCCTGATGTTTTACCCAGATCTATGGCAGACATCCTCAGAGTCTAGGGGTTGAGGGGTCTGTTGGAAACTCCTCAGAAGTTGAAGGGTCTGTTGGAAAATAGGCAAGTGACCCCTCAACCTCTGAGGATGCCTGTCATAGATGTGGGCATAACGTCAGGAGAGAATGCTTCGGGAACATGGCCATTCAGCCTGGAAAACTCACAGCAACCCAGTGATTCTGGCCATGAAAGCCTTCGACAAAATATGAAACGTTAAATCCCTGCATTTCCCAGTCTCAGTTCTAGTTTAATTGTATAAACACAGAGTTTTCTAGAAACAGCATTTCTGTTAAGGCAGATCAGTTCAGAACATTGCTTCAAGCTGTTCTTTAATGCTGCATAAGATCTGGACAATTTCCTGACACAAGGAAACAATTTTTATACATATCCCTAAGCAATATAGTTTATGCTATCATATATTCCCAATTTCACACCTCCTCCTGAATAACATAGATTGCAGCCTGGGCCTCCAGGACCTCTTAAGTGTGACCTCTCCCGCCATCCCCAATGTGGGTTCAGGCTCCCACCAAAACTCTTGCCCAGCTATAGAAGTGTCCCAACATGTGCATAGAACCCTTCCGTGGAACCACAACACAACTACCACAGCAAGTATGCAGAGTTTATGGTAGTGTTTTCGTATTTTTTCCACCTTGCCAAGTCTTATGCCAGTGGTTCTCAACCTGTGGATCCCCAGAGGTTTTGGCCTTCAACTTCCAGAAATCCTAACAGCTGATAAACTGGCTGGAATTTCTAGTATTGTGGGCCACAACACTTGGGGACCCACAGGTTGAGAATCCCTGTCTTAGGCTGTCTCTATAAATCTTTCTCACCAAAAGCACATGCTAAGATGTGATCCTGGAATCAGATATGTCATACCTAGAAGAGAATGCATGCAGTAGGCACTGAGTATGAAAAGATCACCAAGATAACATCTGAACAATATACAGTGTCGATAAACCACAGTATTTGGAAAAAAAAAACACATACATTATTGCATAGCACAGAAGTGTTTTTGAAAAGTGAATACATAGATGTTCTTTGCAGTTAACCGTTCTCACAGCCTTCATTCTGTGGGAACGATTTCCATACCCTTATTCTAGTTTCAACTGTGATTAGGATAAAGAAAGGTTTACTCACGAACTTCTAATTAGGTGCACACAAAATGGGTCAAAGGCTTTCTCTCAGAAAGGACTAAACTAGTGGTGCAATTTGAGACGGAAAAATATAGTGTTCCAGTCCTGTATCCAGTACCAATAAAATAGAGATAATTTACATGCAGTTTTCTTTTCCTTTATGCAGGTGACGACAAAAACTTCAAGTATTCAGGTTTCAATGCCATGGAGAGAGAGTACATCCATGTACAGGGCTTGATCTGAGCCATTGTTCACCATAATTCATAGAGGATCTATACTGAATGCCAAAGCTCTGCCCTGGAAAACAAGAGAATGCCTCTGAGCATGGCTAGAATTCCTTTTGCTGAATTCCATACTCTGAACTCCAAATAGACCTTTTATAATTTGTTTGCTTAAGAAACATTAACGGAAACATATAGCTAAAGCAATAGCCATGAATTTTTTTCTCTTATCACTCATCCTACACTATTAACGAACCCTCTTTCAATTTTATTTTGGTATAAATCTTTCTGCTTTCCTTCCTTCTCCTTTTTCCTTATCTGATTTCATGCTCTCAATCTATTTTACTCTATTCCATAAATATTAACAGAGCCCTCCGAATACATTACTCTTTCATCATTGCAAGGGCCCAGGAATTATGCATTATTCTTAAAGCGCTAACAAAGGTGGTGAATTAAACACAGTGTACAAGAATATTTAAGATCAGAAAAAGAGTATAAGACTGTAATTCCTGAAAAAAGAGGGTGTCACAATTTTTTTCTGCTTCTTAATTATTGGGGGGGGGGAGGCGTGGGGGGGGGGACTTTCCCTGTTTTTCAAATAATGAAGGTTTTTTTATATTTAAATTGCTTTAAAGTAATTTTTAAGTGCAGCCTAGCCAGAAAGCTTCCCCATTCAAAGGTGAGATATTTCCAGTATCATCCATTTCTGCTCTGATATGTCACATGTAAAGAGAGAACGTCCTCTTCTTGATTGAGACATTCCAGAACGTATTCCGCAAATGGTTAAGGTTCTCCTTTGGACAACGCACCAAATATGTCAATTCTTCACTAGTCATCAGTGCTGAAGCAGAAAGTTGGTGGCTACATTAAGGTCATTATTTGAAGCCCTCAAAGCTTCCAAAGCATCGACCCGGGAGAATCCCATTTCCATGAGCCGTGCAACCTGCCAAAGAAATAAGGATAGGTGAAGAATAAAAGAACAAAGAAATCTTTATCTGAAGTACAAGCAAGCATGCAGCACAATAGCATGGTTTAAACAAGTCACTAAGAGTAAGTCTATGGAGTACAAGGAAGAGGAAGGAGGCTTGTTTTCTGCTGCCCTGGAGACTAGAACCTGGAGCAATGGATTCAAATGGCAGAAAAGGTGATTCCACCTGAACATTAGGAAGAACTTACTAACTGCAGGAGAAGCAGTTTAACAGTGGATACACCTGCCTCGAAGTCTGGTGGGAGCTCCTTCCTTGGGAGGCTTCTAAACAGAGGTTGGATGGCCATCTCTCAGGGGTACTTTGAATGTGCTTTTCCTGCATGGCAGGGGATGGACTGGATGGTCAATGTGGTCTCTTCCAACTCCAGGATTCTAATGTAGTATCTTGGTAAAGAATAGTGTCCTTGTACAGATGTGGCAGCAAGCCCAAGAGTTTAAAAGTCTAAGGCAGGGGTCCTCAAACATTTTAAGCAGAGGGCCGATTCATGGTCCAGCAGACTCTTGGGGTGGGGGATGTACCATAGTTTGATAAAAACATGAATAAATTCCCATGTATACCACACATAGGGTTGCTGTGATTTTTCCAGGCTGTACAGCCATGTTCCAGAAGCATTCTCTCTTGACGTTTCTCCCACATCAATGGCAGGCATCCTCAGAGGTTGTGAGGTCTGTTCCAGGGCAACAGAAAACAAGCCTGCTTCCCCTTCCTTATGACATCCTTTCACATATTTATACATGGCTATCATGTCTCCTCTCAACTTTCTATTCTGCAGGATAAACATACTCAGCTCTTTAAGCTGATCCTTGTAGGGAGTTTGGGGACCCCTGGTTTTAGTTTGGGGATCCTTGGTCTAAGGCAATAATGATAGTAATAGTAGTAGTAGTAGTAGTAGTAGTAATAATAATAATAATAATAATAATAATAATAATAATAATATCTTTATTTGTATCCTGCCCCCACCTCCCCAAAGGGACTCAGTGCAGCTCACAGAAGCACTCCAAGTGCTACATACAGACAACAATATGTAAGTACGTATAAATACAATGACATAAGTAAAATCAATAGCATATAAAAAATACAGGCCTTCATGGACCTGCTCTCCTTAAGACCTGATGTTCACAGTATCCCACTATATCTTCCTTTCTTGCATTGCTGGAATAACATAAGAAGCCTTGCAACATATGTCTCCTCTCAACCCAGTTTCTGGAGGTCTGGTGCTGGTGATAGGGAAGGGCTGTCAAATGGGTTTCACCAATGCAATCTGTTGGCAGGGAAAAGGGAAAAAAACCCTGCGGTGCAGCAGTGTAAGAACTCTGCTTTAATGTTCTTTCCCCCAATGTGACTTTTTGAGGCAGTGAAACTTTCAAACAGAGAGGTATTAAAACAATTTCCTCAGTGAAAACTGAAGTGCGACTGCCTCTGTGAGAGAAATGTGCTAATTCAGAGAGCACCTAAATTTGTTCTCGGAGCACAGCTGTAACAAAATTTTGAAATCCGAGCAGGACCACTTTAATTAACGTAGCTGTTCTTATTGTGTGCCTGCGGGTCATTTCTGGTTCATGGAGAGTGCACCTCAGGAGCGAAGGAGAGGGAGAAAGGAGAGTTTAATGTTTTTCATTCTTGCTACTTTTCTGATCCCAACTGTTGTCACCAAAACATCCTTCACCACTATCCCATAGAGGTATGGAACAACAACCCTCAATGGAACAGAGACACAAATGACAAAAGGCCTGTGTTTGCACATGCTGGGAGCTGGAAGCCCAAAAAGCAGTTTTTCCAAATTCTAAATAGGGCTAAATGCCATTCAGTACTCTCTGGTCCCAAAACCTTTAAATTCATTTCCAGTGCATACCATCACTATGAACCTGAACTTTCTTTTCCCCTACCCTCTTCTCAAAGTGTGCCTCATTATCTGAATTTGCAAGATGCTATACCTTAAGTTGAAAAATGATCCCCAATCATTTTGTATATGATATCACAAATACTGTTTCAGTTAGCAGCCAAAAAATACTAATATATAGAAATAAAATACACACTAGTTCAACCTTCCACCTGCTATATTATTCCCATACTCTGAGTCTGACCCGCCACAGTGGCATCAGCTCAAATGGTACAGAGCACATGGATTTCCACATTCGGCACAAAGGAGAGGCACACTTTCCATGCTTCCTGTTAGACAGGCCAGTGCAGCGAGGAAGGTCTCAGAAATTTTGCTTCCTGCGGCAAGTATGACATCTCTTGCCCAACCATGCAAAGAAGTTGTCTTCATACTAATGTTTACAGTGGGCTAATATATTTTAGAAAATCAGCATGGTGTAGTGGTTTGAGTGTTAGATCACAACTCTGGAGAGTAGGGTTTGATTCCCCATTTGGCCATGAAAACCCACCTTGGATAAGTTACACACTTTCAGCTCCAGAAAAACCTTTCCTAAGTCAGAAGCAACTTAAAGGCACACAGCAACAGGAACAATACACACAGTATCTTATATCATATCTGAGATAGAACGCACACTTAGAGGCTCAGGATATGTGTGGAATATGCATTTTTATTCCATAGTGGTATTGGGGAACAACCGCCAAGGAATTTGAAAGGAACAGCCAGAAGGCTGCCACCATTACCTTCTAGCATCCAGGGCTTATTCTGCTTATTGGGCAGGACGTGTAAGAAATAATATATACCCTAATGTAATCAAAATTACCAGACAACATTGATGTTTTTACCTCCTTTATCAAGACAATCACAATGTGTGTGTGTGTGTTTTACCTGTTCTTCAGAAACCTCAGCTGGAGGCAGTCCTTCGTGTTCAGGCTGGTGATTGTCCTGATAGTTTGCATTATGCCGATGGCGTAAAGGAGGGAAGAGACGGTTCCAGTTAATTATTCCACCCTATAAGCAATATTTCAAATTTAAAATTATTCAAAAAAATAAAACGGCAAGAAAATTGCAACTTCAGGTCAATTTCAGGTTAAAATCAAGTTTAAGACAGACATAAAACTGTGTGAATCAATAACAAAAATAACAACAGATAATATGTATCTCTGTCCTTGCTTTCATCATAGCTACAAGAATGTAAAAAACAGGCAATTAATACACATTCCTTTGTTCAATTTACATCCCACCTTTCTCCTGCCATGGAACCCAAGGTATTGATTAAAATAGAATGCAACTAAAAACGTAGTACCGTATGAATTTATTAAAATATTCATTTAAGGCAGTTTAGATCATATTCAAAACACAAAAACAGCACATCCCATTAAAAGATCCTTCTGCCACTGCTAGTTAACACGCAAAGTCCTGTCTAAATAAGAAGATTTTTGCCTGCCAGTAGGAGAATAGCAAAATGGGCCGGTCTAACCCAATGGAGATGAGCACTTCACAGTTTGGGAGTAGCCACTTAGGAAGTCTACTATCTTGTACCCTCACCAATGTCAGTGGTGGGATGAAAAGAAAGATTTCAGAACTCAGGCAGGCTCTTATCAGTCGTAATGTGAATTGATATCATGCAATGTGAATTCTACCCAGAAATTGAATTGTAACCAATGGATCTGCATAGTGGGCCGGATTCAGGCCACAGGTCTCGAGTGTAACACATTGATATAATCCCTGGGTTTTTCTTGATTTTTTTGCTGATCATTTTGTTTGTTTCTTTCATCACTTTTTTCCAGAATTCTTTAACTATGTTACAGGTCCACCATACGTGGAAAAAAGATCCCTTCACCTTCTTGCATCTCCAGCAAGCCCCTTGTCCTGTTTTCTCTATTTTAGCTAGTACCTCTGGGGTTATATAGGTTCTGTAAAACATTTTAAACATATTTTCTCTAATTGAGCTGGCCACTGAGAATCTAAAGCCCTTATTCCAAAGACATTCCCACTCTTCCAGATCGATATTTCTGCCAACATCTTGGGCCCACGTGATCATAACGGATTTTATTTGGTTGTCTACTAAGTTATATTCTAAAATGTATTTGTAAAGTCTGGATATTAGGCCTTTGTTGCCCTTCTCGAAAATACTTTCTAACTCCGATTTATTAGAGGCAAATCCTAGTTCTGCATCCTTCCTAAATCTGTCGTGTAGTTGGAAAAAACGGAACCAATCTTTTAACCCAGATTCTTCTCTGCTTTTAAGTATCCATTGTCCTTTCTCATTGACCAAATAATCCTTCTATGTGCTGGAGTCAGCATGTGTGGCCGGTCTCTGGACTGCTTCCAATGGGCACAGCCATAGGGGGGTTTTTGGCTCCATACCCTTCTTATATCTTTTCCATGTTGCTAAAAGGCTGGTTCTTATTACGTGCCCGTTGAATTCTTTGTTCACCCTGTCCTTATAATCCCATAAATAGGCGTGCCATCCGTATCTTAAATTATGGCCCTCTAACTTAAGCAACTCCTTATTGTCCATTTTAATCCATTCCTTTAGCCAGCTGAAATTTGCGGCTTCATAGTAGTACCTGAGATCTGGCAATGCCAGGCCCCCTCTGTTTTTCCCATCAATAAGATTCCTGTAGGCAATTCTCGCTTTTTTCCCTTTCCAAATGAATTTGACCAGATCTCGTTTCCATATTCCGAACACCTTTACTCCCTTAATAATTGGTAGGTTTTGAAACAAAAACAGCATTTTGGGCAATACTATCATTTTTATCACTGCTATCCTCCCTAACCAGGTGAGTTGAAGTCTTTGCCAATTTTCCAAATCTCTTTTTATCTCCTTCCAGGTTTTGTCGTAATTATATTGGTAAAGTTTACTATTTTTGTTACTTAGCCATAGTCCAAGATATTTTACTTTGGGGACTACCTTACAATTAGTTATATTCTCCAATTTAACAATATCACTTTTAGATAGGTTCTTAGTTAAAAATACAGATTTCTCCTTGTTAATTTTAAAGCCTGACACAACACTAAATTCATTAATAATTTCAAATAAGGCATGTATGCTTCTTAAAGGTTCCCTTAAGAAACAGACCAGATGATCTGCATATGCCTTCCCTTTAAATTCATACCCTTTTACTTTAATTCCTTTAATTTCATTAACTTCTCTAATTCTATTATTCAAAATTTCTAATATCCAAATGAACAGTAAGGGCGACAAGCCTTGTCTTGTCCCTTTTTGAATTTCTATATAATTTGACATTTGATTATTTATTTTTAATTTGGCTTTTTGCCTTGAATAAATAGCTCCTATTGCCTTTCTGAAATTTTGACCTACTCCGAAATGGTCCAATACTTTAAACATATAATCCCACCGCACATTATCAAATATAATCCCTATCATTCAGTAACCCCTGGAGATGAGAAGATACCATGAGCTTAGGCACCTTAATGAAGAAAGTGATATTGGACAGTGGATGGTAATGTTCTAATTTGGAGGGGTTCGGGGAGGGTTTTTTTTAAAAAAAAGTTATGACCTCATAACAGGTTTTAGTCAGCTTGGAAGTCTGCAGTAGTTTTAATTGTCACTAGACTGATGTCCTCTAGCTACTTTTATGAATCAGCAAGAACACAGGTGCAAGTGGCATATGGTGACTTGCCTCTCCAAGGATGCTGTCTACATTCTTAGGCGGTACAAACTGAAACATTACCATTTGCCCAGAACAAGCAGTAGCGAAGATGCACTGGACCTGTATCAACAACAGCCTCCAGATCACAGAGGATCTGAATAATTTTGTCAGCAAAGGGTCATGGAAATTATTCCCAGTGGGTTATCAAATGGTCTGTATTCTTTTCTTCTGGAGCAGAGCACGAAATGCCACTCAGTGAGGGCTGCTCTGGAAAACACTGTGCAGACACGATGGTGGCAGGGATGGATGACCTTATTAACCACCATGGCACAGGATTTCCAATAGGAGAGAAAGACTCATGAAGTAAGTAGGTAGGTAGGTGGGGATGAGGTAGAAGACTGGCTGGGTTAGTGATTAAGTGGGCAAGGGAAGACCATTTGGGTCAAAGTGGGAAACAGAAAGAGTCTAGATCAGTGGTTCTCAACCTGTGGGTCCCCAGATGTTTAGGCCTTCAACTCCCAGACATCCTAAGCTTGTCAACTGGCTGGGATTCCTGGGAGTTGTAGGTCAAAACACCTGGGGACCCACAGGTTGAGAATCACTGGTCTAGATGGATATAAGAGAAAAGAACACTGGGATAGATATGTAGGGCTAAGTGATTTTGTAATTCTTGCAAAGCTAGGTATTTCTGCTGATATCAAATATAAAGAAATTGTGTGTATGTGTGTGTGTTTGTGTGTGCAGGGGGGGGGGGGGAATTCAGTGCATACCACACTTTATGTCAGAATTTAAAATGCAATTGAAGACTCATCTCTTCCAGCAAGCCTATCCAATAAACTTTCAATCATGAGTTTTGTTTTACATTCTTGGTGCAGGTTTTTAAAATATATTTTTTGTGTTTTTATCTATGCAATTTATTGTATATATTTTATGTTCATATGTTTTTTACTTTGTTGTTCCCTGCCTCGAGCCATCAGGAAAGGCAGGTAATAAATAACATTATTATTATTAGAAAGATAGTATCAAAGATAGCTGTAGCATGAGATCATTTTACCCTTCCCCAATTTTGACTGTAAAATGTAAAATTTCAACGTTCTGAAATGGAAGTACCCTCACTATTTTGGAGCATACAACTTGCCCCTAATTTAAAAGCAGTGGTAGAAATGTTGTTCTAAAGTTCTAAAAACTGAAGCGTTGTGCATGAAACCACATCTAGGTGTTGTAAAGGCCTGTTACCATTTTGATATGTTAGCACATCTATGAGTCAGTATTAAAGGCCTCTTCCTCTCTCAATCACACCCATCCACACCCACCCGGATCAACATCCAAAACATAAAAACAACACTTCTAACTGATATCATTATTTGCATTTTAAGAAGCTAAAGCTTGGGGCTATAGCTGATCACAACCCATGCCACAACTTTGTGTGTGTTTTTTTTATCAAGACATTTTAAACATTTATTCATTCTTATTTTTTCTTGTCACATGCAAAAAGCAGTACAGTCTTGCATGCTTCAGCAAACAAATTATTTTTAATACACATCGGGTATGTGTGGGTACGGCTAACTATTTAAATTAGGGCACTATTTAGAGCATTAAAAGTTATGTTTACAAACATTTGTGTAAGTCATTTCTCTCACATTTCTCTCACATTTGTTACAAAATCAATTAATAAAAGCAGAGAGAAATAGAACAATTTGTGAATAGTAATAACCAGAATATTGCCAGGTCAGAGGTTAATTCTGTGCAGTTTTTCAAAAGTCACAGTACAGAAAATGCATTCCAACCAAATGTTGTCAAAACATGTTTTCTGCATAGCTACTAAAATGTGTGTGTGTGTGTTGGGGGGGGGGGGACACAGTAAAAAACTGTAAAGAAAAACAGAAGTTTTCATTATTCAATTGTATATGGGTAGCAAACTTTGGAAGCTAGCAAAATCTACCCTTTGCCATGTATTAGCTGCAGTAAACATGATAAAAACTCACATAGCAACACAAAAACATTCCAGGGATGTTTTCCTGTTCCAGCTCTACATTCACAGGTGGCATAAAATATTTAATAATTACATCTGAAAAGAATAGGTTTTTTTTGTTATGTTACAATTAAAACATAACTCAGTTGCATCTTTATTACTATGGAAAAAGAACTAATTGCATATAACTTGTTAGTAGTTATTTCTATGCTCTTAAGGTAACCTAACTACTTCTATGCTCTTAAGGTAACCTAACTATTAAATATTTTATGCCACCTGGGAATGTAAAGCTGGAATGATCAGAGAACAGGGAGTCAACATAACATATATTTCTCAAAACAAAGAATTTCATTTTGATTCATTTCACAAAAGCAGATTTTCATGGGAGGGCAATGACATTGGAAGTAATTCCTTTTTGG